CCAACTTTGAGGCTGCTATTATTATTCTTCCCATTTTATAGATGAGGAAACTGAGGAAAACAGAGGTTAAGGAACTTGTCCAGGGTCACACACAGCTAGTAGGGATCTGAGGCCTTCCTGACTCTAGGCCCAGGGCTCTATCCACATCAAGGGCAGATGCCCACACTTCAGTCAGCTTCTATCTGCCCGGGAGCAGGGAGGTGGCAGGTTTGGCAAATCACAGATTCCCAGAGCCAGGAGACACCCCGATCTCTTCTAGCCCTGCTTCCCGCAGAGCTCAGACATGCCCTCTGCCACCTCCAGTGACGGGAACCTCACTACCTCCTCATTTCTGTTCGTAAGAGTTAAAGGTAAGCTCTGAGAAGCTGCCCTCTCCTGCAGCATAAATGTTTTCCTTGCAGCCCAAAACCTCAGTTCCCGCAGTTGGTCATAGGCTCATCGACAACGTGGGAGAGACCTGGGCCGTGGTAAGCTCCCTGGGTCTCATTCTGTGAAGGGAGAGTTTGTGGGGGGCTGTGACTAATTAAATCCGACGTCACTGCTTTTTCCCTGAGCCCAGTGGCTGACTCTGAGCTTGTGTGGGCCTTCTGTGTGTGGGCAGACAATGAAAGGAGACCCAGAAAGAGATAGTCCCAGAGAGGATGGGGGGAGGGAGAGGCAGGAATACGCAGGAATAAGGGGAGGAGAAAGCACTATATCCTCTAGTCTGGAATCCTGTCTTTCACTTAGGTATCTCCTGTCACCCCAGGGCCCATGCCTCTGGAGCCAGGCCCTTGTTTATACACAATCCCTTGGGACAGGGACTGGGGGCAAAGGGAGGTCTTGAATCCTTTGACCAGGCAGGGAAACTGGGGCTTTCCTCAATGTGACCCCAAATTCTTGTTAACTCTTTCTCCACAGGTCCTCCTTCTATCACTGACCAATGCCCACCCCTGGGGTCTTGTTCACACCATGCCTGATGCCAGCAATGTCTTCACCACCCCTCTGTGATACTCCAAATATGGCCTGTCCTTCAAGGCCCAGTTTGAAGCCCCTTCTTCTGGGATGGCCCATCCCAGCACTGGCAGGGATGAGGATTGCCCCCCCGCCCCACACATACACATTTCCCTTAGCACCCAGTTTATGTTGTAGGGGGCCACCCGTCACCAAGTGTTTATATATTCAGTGCCTGCTGTGTGCCAAGTGCCATACTAAGCCCTGAAAATACAAAGGAAAAAGGAAAATGATATATGATATAATGTGAAACACGCCTCAGAGAGGGGTAAATGTTGGTGCTCTGGGCGGTCTATTCTGCCTAATATCATCAGATATTAGGATAATAGGATCCGAGATGGAACAGAAAGGAAACCATTCCAAAGTGGAACGGAAAGGGCTGAAAGGTAGTGAGCTCCCCATCACATCCTAGGGGTCTTCTGGGTTCTAGCTTTGGATGTGCGACTGAACAAGTGACGTGATGTCTCTGACCACCAGTATCCTCATCAATGCCAATGCTGGACGTCAAAGAAGGAAGGAAATGGCTCTGGAGTCCACAGCCTCTACTCTTGCTCTGACTCAGGTGTGGGCGTCTTGCCCCCCCAAGCATCCTGGGAGCTCACGCGGCCTGGCCAGGGGTCTCACGCTTTGTCTTGGCCTCTGCCCCAGCCCAGGACCAGCCAGACAGCAAGCACAGGCTTTGGACACTGAAGCATCCCCTTGGAACACCCTGGTGAGGCAAGCAGAGCAATCAGCCCTCTCCCTGTTCTACTGATGGGGAAACCGAGGCTCAGGGAGGGGGGATGACCTTACCCAGAGATGCACAATTCAGCTGGCCTGCCCTGAGCTTCCCACGGCCTCCATGGAGTCCTCCTGACTCTCTGTCTGAGCTTCTAGGACACCTGAAGCAGGCCACAATCTCCCTCCCACCTGCCTGCCATCCACTTATTGCTCACAGGGGCTCAGATTCATGTGGCTCTCCTTATCACTCCCCATAAATCAGCCCCAGTGGGCCCCTGGCACCTCTGTTTTCTCAGTTCTGTTTATATATCCTGGAGAATGAGGGGCTGATGAGAAGAGAGAGGGCCCTGGCATGCGGTGAGGGGACAGCCTTGGCCATCCATCCATTCATTCACTCACTCACATATTCATTCGCTCACTCAGTTATTCATTCATTCATTCACTCACTTATTCATTCATTCATTCATTCATTCACTCATCCATCCATTCATTCAACAAACATTTACAAGTCAATTTCTATTTGCCAGGCCCTCAGCTAGGACATAGGGTATAAAGACGAGGCAAGAACAGCCTCCATGCTTAAGGAGCTGGTTACTGTACTGGTGAGATGTAGGAAAGTGGGCTGAGTTTAATCTGGTGCTTCCGCCTTCCTGGTGCCCCTGCCTCCAAAGGAAGCAATCCCTAACAGTGGAATGTCAGGCACCTGAGGGAAGCTGGAGTTACAGCTGGAAAGCGCCTCTGACATCAGCTAGTCCTTCAGCCCCTCCTCATTTTACAGATGAGGAAACTGAGGCCGACGAGAATTAAATGACTTACCTAAGGTCATACAAGTAGTAGAGAGGAGGGCCAGAATTTGAATTCAGAACACCTGACTTCAAATCCCCTCTCCACAGGGTTCTGGTGGTGCGGAGGTTTGGGAGAGGAGCAGTGTGGTCTGGTGAGACAATCCCTGGGAAAGCATCAGGAGCTCTGACCTCCTAGCCTGGCTGTCTCATTTTCTAGCTGAATTACAGCATTCAATCTTGATCATTCCCATTTTAAGGTTTGCAAACAGGGTTAAGTGACTTGCCCAGAGTTACTGAGTGAGGATGCATCTGAGGTGAGAATTGAATCCAGGCCCTCTGACTCCAGCGCCTGAAAACTTTCTATCTGTGTGACCCTGGCCAGATTCATTTCTCCTCACTTCCGCTGCCCTCATTGATGAAGAAGGGGTCATCTTATCTTCACTCTCTCCACCTCTGTTCATTGGGGGAGGGAAAGCTTTTTACTGAACCATAGAGCCTTGGAGGAAGGAAGCTGGTGTGTCTGTAAGCATCTGGCACCTCGCCTGGGATCCCCCTGCTGGGATCTGCCCAGAGCCTGGGTTTGTCAATGACCACCCTGAGACTCATTCTAGTACCCACGTTCCTGAGCTCTGGGCCATGAGGAACTTCCCACAGCTAACAGGGGCAGTGTTTCTGTCTCACAGGAAGGTCTGTAGAAGGGGGAGCTTTTAGCCAAGGCAGCAGCCCCCTGACATCTGTCATCACCCCCCAGACTACGGCTGGCAGGCCCAGGCCCCACTGACCCCAGATCTGATTCCTGCCAGGATGATAACAGCATTATTTCTGGTCCTGGCTAAAAGCAGAACCATTTCACTTCATCCTTTCTGAATTCCAAGACCCTTCCTTGTGGAGAGGAAGTAGGAATATCTAACTAGACTCCCCCTGGGAGTCAGACAGGGCCTCTAGCATGACCACCAGTCAAATGTGTCACCGGAAACGATGGGAGCATCTGGCATCGCTCAGGGTTAACCCATTCGGCTTCAACAGACTTTCGAGGTAACTATGATCTGCCCATGAAGGGCCCCAACTTTCTTCCTCCCTCCTTCCCTGCCTTCCTTCCTTCTCTCCTTCCTTCTTTCTTTCTATCTTCCTTCCCCCTTCCCTCCTTTCTTGTTCCCTCCCTTTCTCTCTCTCTTTGTCTCTGTTTCTCTCTCCTCCTTCCTTTCTTCTCTCCCTTCTTTCTCCCTTCTTCCTTCCTACCTTTCTTCCCCTTTTCTCTTTCCTTCTCTTTCTCCTTCCTTCCCTCCCTTTCTCTCTCTTTTCTTCTGTTTCTTCCTTTTTCTTCTCGCCCTCCTTCCTTTCTTTCCTCTCTCCTTCCTTCCCTTCCTCTCTCCTTTCTTCTTTCTCTCTCTCTCTCCCTTCTTCCTTTCTACCTTCCTTCCCCCATTCTCTTTCCCTTCTATTCTCCTTTCTTCCCTCCCTTTCTCTCTTTGTCTCTGTTTCTCTCTCCCCCTTTCTTCCTTCCATTTATCTATTTATTTATTTTGGAAAATCTTTCCTGAAGCACATTCTAGAGAAAGTGTGATCCAGAGGAAAAGGCCCTGGACTACAAATCAATAGGTATGGTTTCCAGACCTAAATCAGCTGGGATTTCAGCAGAATCATTTTTGTTCCCTGAAACTCAATTTTTCCTGTTTTTATAATTAGATGCTCAGAGAAGACTGAATTCAGGGCAATGAGTTGAGAATATAAAAGCAAAAATGAAATATTGTCCCTGCTCTCAAGGAGCTTCCAGTCTCCTGGGGGTGAGGGCAGTGTAGGTGGGGGAGAGAGTCATTGACAAGAGATTAGTAGATCCAAGATCATTTGAAGAGGAAGAGAACATGGACAACCTGGAGGGTCAGGAATGGTGTCCTATGGAAGCGAGAATCTGAGCTGAAGCTTGAGGGAGGCGGAGGAGAAGGAGGGCACTCCAGGCATGTGAGGAGAGCCTGTGTACAGAAATGAAGGTGGGAGATGGCTTGGGAAGTTCAAGGACCCAGTGGCCATAGAGAGTATGAGGGTGGAGTTCTAATGTTCCAGGCAGCCCCACGTGTGAAAAGCAGACTAGGGAATTGTGAGGACTCGAGCTTCAGTATTAGGGCTACACCAGGCAGCAGTGTGTGTGTGTGTGTGTGTGTGTGTGTGTGTGTGTGTGTGTGTGTGTGTGTGTGTGTGTGTGTGTGTATATGTGTGTAAACCAGCCCCGGGCTGTTCTTTTGATTTTTACATAATCCATTTGGGTCCATATGGTCTGGTGGGGAAGACCAGAGCATTGGATTGGACATCGGACCATCAGGGTTTGCATTCCACTTCTAAACCATGTTACTTCTCTGGGCCTCAGTTTCCTTACCTGTAAAATGAGTGGGGGAGGGGTGGAGGGTCCCTTAATCTATACACATGTCCTCGAGGTCTTAGAACCGCCTGCTGTCGGCAGGGCTGGGCCCATTAGAGGTCCAATGAGTCACAGTCTCTGGCACTCACCTGTCTTCAATCCGGACCCACAGGTCGTTGAACTGCCGTGGCCGGTGTTGTTTATGATGCTTCCGCCGCCATTTCTTTTGTCGCCCGAACTCTTCCAGCTGGCTCAGGCTGTCGGAGAGCAGGAGATGGGGTGACAGAAGGTCATCATCTTCCTCCTCCTCATCCCCTGGCCCGGGAGGCGTAGAGGCCAGTGAAGAGGATGGGCTCTGCTCCATGGGTGGCATCGTGGGAGCCAGGGTCACCACAGGATCTGGAGAAGGGGGCTGGGAACTCCGGGGGCTGGAACTGAAAAGAGCCAACATTGGGTCAGTTCCCCCTGTGAAACCAGGGGTTAATAAATAGATGGTAAGAGGGGAGGGGCTATCAAGACCAGGACTTGTTCTCTGAAAACCAGGGTGTTTAGCCGTGGGGAATAAATGAATGAGCTCTGATGTCATCTACCAACTGAGCCCTGGGTCTGATCTGTCTGACCTTTGATACTAGGTCCCCTGCATATCTGTGGTCATCAGGCATCTCACTACCTACTCAGGGAGGTAAGACTGGAGCATGATAAAAACACCATCATTTCTTAGCACACACTAAATGACTCAGAAGCTTCTGGGCAAAGTGCTGCAAGAGGAAAAACTTTGAGCCAGGGAAAGGAAGGGAAGAGTTCCCGGAGAAGAGCCCATCTGAGCTGAGCCTTGAAGGATGAGTCCAATTTCAATCTTGGCAGCTATGGCCGGGTAAGGGGAGAGGATATTATAGGCTGAGGGAATAGTGTAGATGAAGCTTCTGAGTTGGGGGGATAAGGATGTCATTGGCAGAGACCAAGGAAGACACTAGCATAGCTGGATGAAAAGGAAGGTCGGGCCTAGACCAGAGAGCCTTGAATGCCAGGCTGATGATAGGGTTTAATTGGATGGACAGTGGGCTTGCTATTCATCTTCACTCTGCCTAGCAGACAGGAAACCAGCTTTCACAGGGGTAGGGTGTCAGACCAGATTGAGCTGAGTTCTGGGCACAGAGGTTTAGCAATCCTGTCTCACTGAGGGCCATACAGCCCTCAGGTCTGGGTGCCTTCTCTGCAGGCCTTCCACCTCTACCCGAAAAGGGCCCTGATATCTCTGCAGTGCCTGGGGGAGAAAAGCTGATATAGTCATTAGCAGCTCCTGCATACTGTTAACCAGTTAGTCCAGCCCACGGCTCAGAGCAGGAGGTGACAGATGGTTCCCTGATCCCCTCACTTAGGGCGCAGCCAAGTCCATGACTTAGAAAGGGTTTGGGAAAGGGAAGCCACGAGAGGGGCCATGGGCAGAGACCACAGGAAGGCCAAGATGGGGCCAGAGCTCAGTCTGGGAGCAGACTCAGGGCTCACTTTGGGACCGGCTTCAGATTCAGTCTGAGGCTTAGGGCTCAGTCTGTGCCCAGGTTCAGGGGGGTAAATGTGAGTCCAAGCACCAAGTCTGGCTCCAGAGTGAAAGCTGAGTCTGAAGCCAGGTCAGAGGTCAGTCTACAACTGGTTTGAAGGCTCTTGGAGCCAGACTCAGGGCTTACTCTGACATGGGGAGGGAAATTAAATCTCTATACCTCAGCCGTGGATTAAACCCATAATCTCACACCTATTACTACCCTATGTAAGGCTGGTTTTGTTTCTATCAACAGCAAGGGCTCATCTATTTTTAAATTATAGTAATTATTATTTTACTGCTCCCCTCACTTCCTCCCCTTGACACCTCAGCCTGGCCAGAATGTGACACTGGGCTCTGGGAGTCTGAGCACACAGCTTGCCAGCTCTGGCACGTCCCACCCTACTGGCAAGGTTCCTAGGGAGGTAGGTACTGGCCCTGGATTATACACCCATCTAGCTAAGGAGAGAGCCTCATCACAGGCTGAATGAGTATGAATTCTTTGTCCTCGGCAATCCGTGAGACAGAGAATAACATAAAATGTCCCTCTATCCTGCTCCCACTGGGACAATGGCAGATTGTCAGGGAAGGGGGGCCAAAGGCGCTTAGAATCACACAGGCTTTACACAGTTAATACAGACGAAATTAGCTGCTGTCTCGATGAATGAGTGGCCACATTTCGTGGCCAAACATGGACACACCGCTTGAGGACCCCCATCCTGCCAGCCTAGGCATTCTTACAAACAAATGAAGACCGAAGGCAGAAGATGTTTCAGCTGGGGAGGATGGAGGCCTTTTAGGTTCTCACCGGAGAGGCCAATGGACCCATTGGTGGAATTGGTTTTATTGTGCTTCCAAAGGCAACCAGAAACTTCGTTTCATGGGACATTTGGTCATCTCATATTGCAGAGCTTGGGATGAGCATAAGCAAGAAAGACCACCATGAAAGTAACTGCTGTTTCCACGCCAACATCTGTTGCGGAGGATGAGAAAGTAGACACATTTGACAAAGAACCCAACAGGACGCTCCAAGCCAAGTCAATATACGCCTTAAACCTTCAGGATTTCAACGTGTGGTGGTGGTGGGGGGATGGTCAGGGCAAAAGGAAGGAAGGAAGGAGAAAATTTGGTTGAGGGTTAAAGAACGAAAGGACATTCTGGATCCTTAGGCCTGAAGACGAAGAACATTTTCTTCCCTGAATAACATCGCAGAAAAGAAAACTGGCTTTATTCTAACAGAAAAGAAATGTTTAGCTGCCGATGTGGGAGGCATGTCCCAGGCAGCTGTCTGTGTGTGTGGATTGGCAGGAGAAAGACAGAGTCAACATGGAAGTAGATGAAGGAGAAGAGGTATGCTGTATAATTACAATAGGAAAGGGGGAAGGGAATGCTCATTTCTACAGTTCCTACTAAGTGCCAGGTACTGTGCTGAGTGATTTTTTTTCAAATATGATCCCATTTGAGCCTCACAACAGCTCTCTGAGGGAGGGCCTATTATTATCCCCATTTTACAGATGAGGAAACAGAGGCAGACAACGATTAAATGACTTGCCCTGGGTCACACAGCTAGGCGGTCTCTGAGGTAGGATTGGAATTCAGGCTTTCCTGACTCCAGGTGCAGGGCTCTATTCACTGCACCACTAGCTGCCTTTTGTCACTTCAACCACACCTGTTCAGACAAGTTCATCAGTCTTCATTTTCTCCAGGCTCTTCTCCTGACTTTCTAGACTTTCTCTGTTGTTTAGTCGTTTCAGTCTCCATGACCCCATTTGGGGTTTTCTTAGCAAAGATACTGGAGTGGTCTTCTATTTCCTTCTCCAGCTCATTTTACAGTTGAGGAAACTGAGGCAAACAGGGTTAAGTGACTTGCCCAGGGTCACTGAGCTAGTAAGTGTCTGAGGCCAAATTTGAATTCAGGTTTTCCTCACTTCAGGCCCAGCACTCTATCCATTGCACCCAAAGACTTTCTCTACCATGACACAGAAGCATCTTCACCCTGGATTCCTTGCACTGGAAGTACTCTTGGCCCCTTCCTCTAATTGGTTGGTTCCTCCGAGAATATCCATTTTAAGGAAAACGTGCAAGGCAGCTAGACCTTCATTTCTCTCCAGGCTCCACTCCTAACTTTGTGGGCCTTCTGTACCACGCCCTCCGGGTAGAGCTTTTCTTCCCATTCTATGCCCTTTCATCTGTGTGTTGTTGTCTTCCTCCATTATAAGGTAAGCTCCTTGAGGGGACTGGCTGTCTTTCTTCTTTTATATATATTCCCAGTGCCTAATACAGTGCCTGGTAAATACTAAGTTCTTAATAAAAGCTTGTTGACTTGACATGCCAAAAAAAAAAATCTGGAAATGTATAGAGGACAAGACACCAACTCTGATTATCCTCCTTTCCTATAGAATTTCAATTGCAGTAACATAAGTACTGCAGAGAGGGTACCCAAAGCACCCAGAAACCCAAAATCAAAATCAAGTAAAACAAGACCTTCTTCGGTGGACAAATATGTACTCTTCTTGCCCAGTGTGGAGACACAGCAACCGAGAACAACATGGGTTCAGAAAATAAACTCCCTTTCAAACCTTTTCATAGGAGTAGAGGACAAGGGATGAATAATGGAGGGAAAATGAGTTTGCTGAATTTGGCACGAGACCCAAGTAAATCAGCTCATCCCAGGAGCACATTCTGACGAAACTAGAAAGGGCTAACAAAATGGGTGAAGAGATGCTGGCATTCCTGAATCATTCTCATCCATCTCTACATCAACGAGCATTTATTAACTGTCCAGGTGCCGTGCTAGACACTGGGGACACGAGGACGAAGATCAGGCAGTCCTTGACCTCAAGGATTTTGCTTTCTCTAGGACAGATGTTCTTTAGCTGGAGTCCCTGAGCTCCCTTTTAAAAAATATTCTGAAAACTTTATTGGTGTCCTCTTTAATCCCGTATAGTTTATTTTGTGCATTTAAGAATATGATTAAGAGTTTAATAGGAATGCATATCTATTGCCTATATCAGGTACTGCGCTATCTTGGGGAGGGATGTGGGGAGGGAGGGGGAAAAATATAAAACTCAAAAGCTTATGGAAGTGATGGTTGGTAATTCAAAATAAATTAATTAATAAAAAAAAAAGAATATGATTAAGAGAAGGGGTCCTTAGGGGCAGCCATAGGAGGGATCCATGACACAAAAGAGGGTAAGAATTCTGCCTTTGGGGGGGGTGGAGACAACAGGTACCCATAGGGCTGGAAGGGGCCTCTGAGGTCATGTGGTCCAAACCCCTCTTTCTACAGATGAGGATGGAGGGGCCCAGGGAAGTGAGGGGATGTGGTCTCAAAAGTAGAAAGTGGCATCTCAAGGACTTTCCATTCTCCAGATGCATCCCTTTTCATCACTCACTCATCATCTGCCCAAGGTCAGGTTCTCATAACCCTCACCTGGAATTCTATCATAGCTTCCTAACTAAATTCCCACTGGAGGTCTCCCTGTCTCCAGTTTCTCCAGGCACATCCCTGTCTAGTTAGCAGTTTGTGATTGCCAAAGGGCATATGCTCAAGAAGTATCACTGGCTACCAATTGCCTCTAGGGAGCCAGGCGGGAGGCATGGTGTCTCTCATAGCTGGGGTCCGTGGAGGGGAAGTGATTTGCTGAAGGAGAAGCAGAAAGTTCATGTGGGGGTGAAGTTTCATGCCCTCTGGTTCATTGCTCCTTCTCAGATGCTTTGTTATCAGCTTTGCTTCTTCAGGGAGTCCCTGTGGGGTCCCCTCCAGACCCAGGGGTACAGTCAGCTAGCAGGTGAGAGGGATGTTTCTAAGCCACTGCCCTGAGCGAGGCCCGCTGGGTCATGCTAAGCCTCACAGAGTCCATGACCTTGGAAATCTGGCCCTAGACATCCTTGGAA